TAGGTAGCTGTAAGAAGGAGATCGAAGACTTCAAAGGTGATCTCAGCAAGGAATTCGAAATGTCTGATCTAGGTGACATTTCACACTTCCTTGGTATCTAATTCTACAAGAGTAGTAGAGGTTTGATGATGCATCAAATAAGATGTGCAGGAGAAATTCTCAAGAGACTTGATATGGAATAATGTAACTCGACTTCGACACCTGCAAAACCAATACTGCAACTGTCGAAAGATTCAAAATAAGATGATGTCGACCTGACCCAATACAGAAGACTTATTGGGTCACTAAGATACATTTGTCACACAAGGTCTGACTTAATATATAGTGTAGGTATGATAAGTAGATTCATGCAGAAGCCAAAGGTATCACATCTAGCAGCGGTGAAAAAGATAATAAGGTATCTCAAATGAACTCTCGACTATGGCATTTTATTTCCTGCAGTTGATAAGGAAAAAGAATTCAAGTTAGTGGAATACACTTATTCGAGTTGGTGTAGTGATGCCGGGGATCGAAAATCCACAGCAGAATATGTGTTTATGCTAGGTGGTGCACCAGTTGCTTGGAGTTCGAGAAAGGAACTAGTAGTGGCATTATCATCATGCGAAGCAGAATACATAGTTGCTTCTTTTTGTGCATGTCAAGCAACTTTGATGGTGAACTTCGTCAAAGAGATAACAGGGAAAGATCATGGAGCAATTACCATGAAGATCGACAGCATGTCAGCTATCAACCTGGCGAAGAACCCGATAACTCATGGTCGAAGCAAGCACATCGAAATAAGGTTCCACTATCTTCAAGAGCAGGTAGCAGATGGGAAGATGAACTTGGAACACTGCCAAATTAAGAATTAGATTGCAGACATCATGACGAAGGGTGTGCAAGTCGAAGTATTTCAAAGACTAAGAGCTATGATGAATATAGATAGCTTAGACACAATGAATTAGGTGGTGTGTTGAATGTAATTATTTGTGTCGAAGCATGTTGCTCGACAGAGACAAGGAAGTGTTGAAACATGGTGTGTCGAAGATACTACACAAATATTTGATTTTAGATTTAGATATATTTGATTTAGATCTAAAATAGATATATTTGATTTAGTTCCAAAATAGATATTTTGGGCTTTTATAGTTTTGGACTTTTGGCTTAGAGAGCAAACTAACCTAAATCTATAAATAGAGGGAGTAACCCCTATTTTTCTAATCAATCAAGTCAATTCATTCATTCATAAAATTTGCAGTTGCAAGTGAATAATAAAGTTTTCCACAGTTTGTGGGCAAAGAAAAACTCTGCAGAAAAATCCTTTCTTTTTTTCTTCATCTTTTATTTTTCATTGTTATTGTGTGGTGATATCAATCTTGAGCATCAAGATTGGTAGAAATTCATCATAGGTTTTAGTGGATTTCCAACAAAGATATTTTTTTAGTTTAAGATTGAATAGATATATTTTGGTTTAAATAGTTTTTTGGTCCTGTAAGTTGGCGTGTTTTTTATTTTCGTCCGTGTATTTTATTTTTTTGGAAATGATTCTTGAATGTCAAAATCCTTTTGGTTTTAGTCCCTAAAATTAAAATCCTCAAAGTTTTTTGAAGGAAAATCCACACAAAACCTGCAGATTTTAACTTTAGAGATTAAAACTATAAAAATTTTAACATTTAAGAATTATTTTCAAAAGAAATAAAATACAAGAACGGAAATTAAAACACGCTAATTTACGGAGACAAGAAAACTACTTAAGCCCTATATTTATCATACTTATGAGGCTAAATAGTAAATATCTACTAATAGAGATCTAATTGTATAAGTTTACACAAAGGAAAGAAAGGGGTGTCAACTTGGCCCTTAGTAAAATGACTGAGGGAATGAATAAACTGATGAATAAAAAAATAATTAAAAATATATTAGTATATTTTTAAGGACAAAATTGAAGAGAGATTAATGGTTCAGAGACTAAATGAGGGATCGGGATTCTCTCCAGTGAAAAATGCACTGGTTGTTATGTAGTCTAAATATTCACCATTCAACTTTTTTAAATTAATTTAAATAATATACTATAAAAAAATATTAATGGTTCAGATTTCATTGGACTAAAAATCTCAGGGGAGAGGATCTATTCCCCTAAATGAGGGTTTTTTATATGGAACAAAGGGAACTGAAAAGATTGTGTTGTAATAAGGATGAACAAGTTGATTTTGATATCGTTGAATGGTACTCTTCATGTGCATGCTTTCAAGTTATTCATAAGAGAATTGGGTAATTCTCGTGATTTCAAATACCCCATTCTAGAAAAATAATAGTTATGAATTTAGTTGGTTGGGATGATGGATAGCTCATGTTGTGAAAAAGAGGAAGAAAGAGTATAGAGAGAAATCGTTGAGTGAATTTTAGATTAAATTCACTTTTCCTATAAATTGCTCATCTAGTTTAAAATTGAAAGAGAGTTCAGAGAGAAGTTGATAGTATGGTACAGGCTTATGAGAAACCTCTTTGACGAATTGTCAAAAGGCATTTTGGACCTAACTGACTACCAAAAGTAGTATTTGTTTTATAGAAATTAGGTATTTTTTTGCTCGCAACTGCAATGGCTAATCTCTTGAGTCGTGATGTCTATATGGTGATGTCTAGTTCCTATACATACTCTCTCACCAACTTTGTTCTTACAAGCAGCATACAACTAATTTAGTTGTGTTTCATAAACGAAAATGCAACTCCACGTGCATTCATCTATAAACTTTAGATACAAAAGAGACTACTTCGACATAAAAACACTCAGTTTCATGCACGAAAACATGTGTAAGTAGAACCCAGAAAATAGTCTTAATAAGGGTATAATGTAAAGTTATTAGCCAATGTACTTCATAATCAACTAAGAAAAATTAGGCCGATAAAAATAGAAGGCAAGCGGACAATAAACTGCACTACTACTCCTTTTTAGATAATAAAATAATCTTCTTAGAAATTACACTCATTGACCTAAGAGATACAACATTATTATTCATAAAAAGATCAACGGTTTCTAGTGCTACTAAGTTATTTATTGTAAAATTGCTTCTGATAAAGCAGATGATTATTTTTAACATGTACAGTCATAACTAAATAAGACTATAAAAATTAAAAATCAATAACTTTTGGAAGTATCACCATATATTGTCTAGACATGGTAGTAAAAGATTGTTAAACGTGTGTGTTTCTATGTCTTGCGCATGAACTCGGATGAATGGTTTGTTTCTCCTTCTTTTTCTCGATCTCCCCTGCATAAAGCCACAATGATTATGTTTAGTAACTAAAAAGGGAGATCAAAATCCCAATAAATATTTAAGCATTTGAAAAGCTTTCTCTTCTATGTAGAAGTAGTACCGGCAACTTTGAAAATAATGTGTTTGTGTCAATTTATTACAGAAAAGAACCAAACCACTTAAATATTGTAATGGTCATCCCATACTATCTAATGCAAGTAAAACGTGTATAATGACGAGAACCATAAAATAGCTATACAAATAAGAGATGAACTATAAGAAGCTAATTTAAGTAAAAAGTAAACATGAAACAGAGAGGAACTGGTCATAGATAAGTTATTTAGAATTGCATTTTTCACATTTCAATAAAGCAAACAAGAAACCAAGAGTTTATCGCCTAATTACAAAACATGTTGGCAATCCAATCACATAGAGCTCTTGATAACCACAAATCAAGAAAATAAGATTCAATCCAAAAACTAGGGGAGGTTTAATTATATTCCAAAACTATATTTCTTAAACAAAAACAAAAGGATTCAATGGAGCAATACATCAAAGTTTATAATGGCCCTTTAAAAGAGGGAAGATATAATGAAATGGTCTTGTTTATAGGCATTCAGCAACAGGATAATGAAAGAGAGTGAGTCCACAATGCTCTCCATTTGTGTCGTCGTTGACATCTTGCAACAGGATACCATTTTCTGGACGCATTTCGATACAAGTCTCTTCTGGTTCCTTTCTCGAACCAAAGGATCGGTTACCATTTGTTGGAAGAGTTACTAGGAGCGTTGATACATAGTGTAGGACTAGGCATCTTTGTGAGAGATACACCACCTGTCCACCTAAAACCTTAAGGTGACATGTGAGTGGGTTCTCTGACTTATATATTATCAAGTCTCCACATTTCTATCTAATGGGAGACTATTTCCACACTTACTCACACTTGTTATATTATTCCAACAAGTTCTAGGTAATTTGATAGAAACATTGTAATGGAAAAAGATTAAATGAACACTAATGTTTGGATATTGTAAAATAAAAGGAGCGAGGCATAATGGAATGAAGTGGAGCGGAATGAAGTGGAATATAGAGGAACAAAATGAAGCGGAGTGAAATGTAACGGAATGAAGATTTCATTCCATCGTTTGAAATTTTTAAGACAAAACAAGAGAAATTCTTCATTTCGTCCAAATCGAAGGAAAAGAAATATGACAGTAAATGATGAAATAGAATAGAATTTATACCACTTCATTCTGCTCCGCTCCATCTAGTTTTAAATGATTCAAACAATAGAATATCACTTCATTTCATCCCATATTAGTCTGCTCCATCAAATTCCTTCGATCCAAACATTATCTTAAATATTGGAACTTGTACATTAAATCCCACACCACAAGAGAAAATCAACCTTAAATTAATAAAATCTATTGAGATTAACATCAAATCAATTAAGTTTTTCACCTTTTCATCACCATCATAATCGTCAGCTTCAAAATAACATAGCATAACACACCTTAAATAATCATAACTTACTACTCACCAAAACACTTATTCCGGTTTTCGACAACTGAAATCCACCTCATTTTTCAGCATCTTTTCATGTGAAAATGTAATCAGGAGTTTGTTGCTATACATATTATCTGCAAAAGCAACAATAAACGAAGATAAACATGCTCATCAACATTGTTACACCTAGTTTAGAAGCTTCATAATGATAATAGCAATTTCTATAGGGTGCAGGGAATGCGTCAAATAGGATGCAGAGATTTAACGTGTTTTGTCAGGGTTATACTCTTCGCTTTTACTGCGATTATTGTTAACAACGAAATCTGATCCTAACTGAACTACCGGGAATTTGTTGAAATCAAGAACCCTAAGTGAACAAAAAAACGGAGAACTCGAGTGATAGGTAATGAACGGGTGGAAGAGTTTGATTTTTCCGCGAGTGTTTTTGGTGATTTGAATCAACCAAGGACGTTGCATACGTTGCATGGTTTGTTGTTGTTGATGTTGTTGCGGTGGCTTGATGAGCAAGAAACAGCGTTTGAAGAGATAGCAAAACGGAGTGCTGTGTTCGCCGTTGATGATATCGGAGAGAAGCTCCGGTCTATCGGAGTAACTAATGAGTGGGAATTTGAAAAAGATGTTGAGCGGAATTGGGATGGAAGAAGAACGCCACGATGAACAGACGGATCCAAAGTGAATCAGATCGAATTCATTTTCGATCCGTTCCGAGATGAGAATGAGAATCTCTTTTGGGAGATCAGCCCAGGTGGAGTCCGCCATTCAGGATGTTGGTGTTCTATGATGCCTGCTGCTGCGCATTTGCTTTCTCTCTTTTGTTTTTCTTCCATTGTGGCTAGGTATATAAAAGCAAACATAAACCCTAGAGAATAATTCTAGAATGTTGAAAATTTCTATATTTTGTAGTAAATTGAATAAACGGTCGAAAGTGCCCTTTAAGTAAAAAATTAATTACACTATCAATCTTAATTAATTAAAAAGTTAGATGTAATTGACGAAATTGTCCTTTTAATTAAAAATTAATTACAAAAGATTCATCTATATAATTAACAAATGTTAAAATGGTTTTTAAGATAAAAAGATAATTGTTATCGTTATCCTTTGATTCTCATCATCTCTTGATTTTATAAAGGTTTAATATCTTTTATGGTCCCATATTTTAATTTTGAGGTGTATTTTGATTCTTTAACTTAAAAAAAAAATATTGATTTTTTAACTCTTCAAAACGTATTATATTAATCTTTTACGTTTTATTAACGACGGAAAAACTCAAAAGTCAATTGTTAAATTTATTGTTAACAAGAAGAAAAGGATATTAAACATTTTATAAATAACTAAAATAAGAACATCTTTCAAAGTTTTTTTATAAAACCTAGCGAGATATTGGATTCAAAAAGATAAACTCTTGTTTTTTATTTTTTAAATTTTGTATTAGTATATCTATAAATGATATATTAAGGATGGGGCAAGATTCATCAAAAGCGAACGAACAACATCCTTCGTCTAAAGTGGGGTTGATAACTGGCAATATATTGTCACGCACACCCATTTATTACAATGCCCACTGTGATAGGTGGAAATAGAACTGACTGTTTTAAACTGGTTTCGCGAAATGTCGCGGAAGCAAGAGTCGCCACCGTCTTTTATTTTCTCCAACATGGACAGGACAAAAGCACAGCAAAATTCCTTATGAGAACGTTTCTCGGTTCGGGAGGTAGATTTATAGAAAGGGAAGGTGTTAGCACCCTTTCTATCCATGGTTATCCATGGGCTCTTAGATACTTGCTCTTATGTTTTCAAAATGTTTGCTTTTCAAAATGTGAGTGGGTTTGAAAAAGTTTCTTTGAAAGATTTCTGAATAACTCTTGTATTTGTCCTCAAGAGTGTTTGAAAATTTTGTTTTGAAAGTTTTTTAAAGTGTCAGTGTGAAAAGATTTTTGTTTTGTTTTTTAGAGAGCAAGTATCTATGAGTCATCTACCTACCCTAAGGAATTAGGCTGTGTAAATGTCCTTAAGGTAGTGTCATCCCACCATTGAGAGGTAGGTAGCACCACCGTTGGAGGTGTTCGGGTCAATTCGATTGTAGGGACAGTGTGGTCACCGAAGCAACAATTAGGACACCTTAGAAGCTACCCTTATGTCCTTGATCCTTTTTTAATCCGAGGCAACCATTTCGAGGCAACTGGATCATGGACATAAGGACCGCTAAAACGTCCCATACTTGACGACCACGTTTCGAAGGCAACAAGTGAGGCGTACCCTAGAAGTGGTGTGTGTATATGTGTGTTATTTTCATGTTAAGTTTATCTTTGATCAGGGGCATTGTGAGCTACGCGTTGTTTTTAGTTAACATACATTCTTTCATGCAAGTTTAGCAGTTAGGAGTGCGGGAAATTAAAAGACGGAAAGATAAAAGCTACGCTATTACAAGGCGCGGGTCTATACATCGCCAAAATACAAAGACCCGTTTTTGATAAAAGATGCGGAAAGTAAAAGAGACCTAATTACTATTACATTCCTTGAACAGTTACATAATAATCAATAAGAAAATAATGCGCGAAAAGAATTAAATTGACCGTCCGAGGGTGTTGACCATTTGCTTGAAATTAAATGAAATTAAAGTCTATTTAATTATTTAATTAAAGAAAAGAAAGTGTTTTTTTTATGTTTTTTTTTGTATTTAATGAAATAAAGAAAAAGAATTAAAAGGAAACCCTAAATCTAGATTATTTTAATTATTAAAGAAAATGTCAAAGTTGACCTAATTTACTAATTAATTAATTTACATGTTTGTTTACAAAAATAATAATCATAATCAATAATAAATAATGATAATAATAATTAATTAAGAAAAGATAAAAATGTCAAAACCTAATTCTATGTATTTTATTTATTAAGAAAATATTGAATTAAAACCTAATTTAAACTAGAGTTAATTGTTAGAGTTTATTTACAAAAATTAATTAGTGAAGAAATTAATAATAATTAAATATATTTGTATTTTTGATTTTTTCTGTTTTTATTATGAAAAGAAAATTATTTTAGGTGAAAAAACAATTAAAACAATTAAAAAGAATTAGAAAAGAAAAGAAAATAACATTAAAAGGATGCAAACCAAGGGGGGGTTTCAGGCCCAAAGGGGAGGTTAGCTGAAGCAATTCTGGCCCAAGAGACAAGGCCTTTGTTTGACTTTCCAGATTGAGTGCACGTGGTTGACTGGGGTATACCCTGGACTGCATCATCTGGCCACTGGATTGGACCTTGAAGCCACTTGGCAGGCTAGCGCATGAGCATGTATGGTGGAACGTTTGATGGAAGCTGCATTGGAATACAAGAGAACAAAAAATATCAATTATATGGGGGGACCTGGGGATCGAACCCAGGTCCCAGCACTTGCAAGGCACGTCCTCCACCAATTGAGCCACTTAGTGCGTTTGTTAACATAATAAGAAAGAAACATAATATATGAATAATATTAATTATACTGAAACAAAGAAAAAACGCGCTAATATTTGAATCTTCCAGTAGCGCTTGGACACCTCAGCTTTCTTCTTCGTTTTCACCTGCAATATGAATGAGATAGCGGGGGTTTTAAACCCCCACTAAGTGGAATAGTGAAAAATAGCGAATAGAAGAGGAATCAACATAAATTGAGCGCGAGATGTTGGTTGAATTCGTCTGGCCTTGGCGAATTCAACCATGGTCATGGCTTAGTCCAATTTTCCCTGATGCCTAAAGCCCTAATTTGGAGCTTCATAAACCCTAGGTTTCATCCATGGTGAATTTCGTTTCAGGCAGCTTTAGCACAATTAACTTATACCAATCGCTTCAGGAGGTACCTATTAGTATGAATCAAACGAGAAAACAGATTAAAAGCACATGAATCATGTTATGCGAATTTGAAAAACAAGACAAACCGTGTGGCCTATGTTCTTGGATTCTTTATGCGTTTGGGCTAGTTCTTGATTGCAGACGCTTCCTGGCAATGTCAGCAAGGTGTTGGAATAGACTTTAGGCCTTGAATTATCCTGCAACTATGAAATCAGTTTCAAGCTTTTTCTCTATTTTTTGCAAATTGGTTATGAGTTTGTGAGCAGCTTTTTCGTGTATGTCTGAATAGGGTTCACTCTTGCATAAGTATGTGAAGCAAATTAGGTCAAAATAAAGCCCATGAATCCATGAATTGATGACTTGAATCTTTGATTGCTAATCATATCTTTTTTCAATCTTTTTCCATGGAAACTTTGCCAATTATGGAAGATCTTGTCTTGTTGATTGATGCACGAAATCCTTAGCATGTGTGGAGTATATTTGCTGCATAAAAAGATTTGACAACCATTATTTGATATTTTTCTACAATTAAAACTAATTAAATGAATTAATAAGAATAAAATTCAATTAATTAATTAAAAATAAGAAAATAAATCCTTTTAAGCTCAATGGGTCGTGCATAGGCTTTGGGTAATGATTCAAGGAAGAATTTGAGGCCCATTAGCAAATTTGAAGTTTTTTAGGCAAAGTTGACTTTTGAAAGTTCCCAAAAATTTCCCAACTTCTCCAATGCATATCTTGCTCAATTTTGAAGCTATGAACATGTTCTTGGACATCTTGGAAAGGTCTTGAAGTCCTCTAACCAATGCCTTTGGTCCCATCTCATTTTGATTTACCACTCTCAAGTTATGGTCTTTGACTTAAAGTGCCTTTTTGTTGACTTTTGAAAATGACCTATAATGTTGAAATTGATAACTTTTTGTGAGAGCATTTATTGGACTTGGAGTGTGAAGATGAGTTGTAGGAAATGTCATCCCCTTCAAAATGAGATTTGGATGGGATTTTTCTGATAAACCATGAGGAAGTTATGCCTTGGTCAATTTGCAGTTGACTTTTCAATTGTCTAAAAATAGAAACTTTTGCATCTTGAGACTTTTTGAGCCATGCTTGTGGAATCATGATCAAGAATTGATCAAATGATGATTGTGGCTTCAAAATAAGATGTTGACCAAAATTTTTGACTTTTGACTGTCAAATGACCATTTTGCCCCTGCAGTTGACTGTGAAGCATTTAGGGTTTTTGACTGGGCAACTTGATGCTGTGAGTCTTGAAACTTTACATATGGATGCTTGACAATGTATATGAGCATATGGGACTTGATTGGACCCTTGGAAACCTCAATTTCTTTGCAAGAACCAAAACCCTAATTTTGACTGTGTTAGGAGGCAATTGGACTGTGCAACCCTTGAGGGATTTTGAAGCTTGATCTTGCCAAATCTTGAAGAATATGGGAGGGAAAATTTTGGGGTACAACAGTTGCCCCTGTTCAATCTTCTTAGGCCTGAGGATGTAGATTGGCTGGCGTGCCTTTCGTAATCCGAAGGTGGAAGATGATTGAACACTAGAGTGCCCAGAAATTTGCACTCGCATAGTAGAGTATCAGCAGTGTGATGTAAAGAATGGGCTTGCAGATGCCATTTGGAAAGATGATGGATAGAAGGATGGGCTTATAGATGCCATCTGGAAGTATGACAGAACCTTATCGGGAATGGGCTTATAGATGCCATTTAGAGACTGTCAATATGTGGATGGGCTTATAGATGCCATCTAGGTGTCGATCGTGTAAGAGATTCCTTAGCGAGAACTTGCGTACCTGAGAAAGAAAATAATTACCTGGCCTGTTACCAGGGTTGCTCTTCAAACTCTTTATGTAGATGTGCCCTGGCTGGATACAGGTATCGAATCCGGAAAATAGTCGTCAACAGATACA